GAATCTTATCTCTTTCAATAAACATAGGAATAATTCTTGTAATTAGTTTTTTATTGCCTCTTTCACATTACTTAGAACTTGTTATGTAATACTAGAATCTTAATTTTCATTCGTAAATCTAATATAAAGTGGGAGAATATTTACTTTGCTATCGTTACCCCGTCTTTTCTAGGCTATCACCCCAACCTCACTGATATGTATAGTGTGTAAAGGCATATACGAATGTATGTTTTGTGAAGTTCAGGATTTATTGTGAGGGCACAGGTATGCATTGCATAATATGGAATGTGCTGGGTATGTCATGTTACAATGACAAATGTCTGTCCTACAAAAAAAAAAAAAAAATTGGATTTAAAAACTACACTTTGCCTAATATATATATTTTTTTGCTTTCTTTTACCTTTTCAACAATTAATCATACAGTTTACATTTTGAGCTTTATTGAAAGAATAAATAGCTGAAAATTGCTGGTCTTGCCACACACAGCAATATCATCTGCTTACACAATTACAGCACGTCATACTAATTACACGGTATATTCACAGGAACAATGAATCTACCAAAATAGAACATTTATTATTCTAGACTTTATATATCAATAACTAACATCTCTTTATCTGATTCAATATACTTCTCTATCTCTTTCCTTAATCCTAATATTTATAGCTTGTTAAACAATGTTAAGTACTCAACAAGCAAGTCTAGGCCAAAAGCAAAGAAAAAAGTAACATATCTTGCTTGGATACTCCAAGTAAGTTAGAACATAAGTAAACCCATTCATAACAAGGAGGGAAAAAGTAACCAATAAGCAAGAAAGACAAAAGTACATCAAAATCAACAGATATACAGTAGTCATGTGTACACATATATTCAACTATGAATAATGGCTATTATAACCAACTTCACAAAACGGATTAAAGGAAAAGAACATCTCACATATTAAAAAGTTTGAATAATGAACTATGAAATGTATTAGAAAAATACAATAGCAATTATGGCAATAATAACAGAAAAGATGCATAACTAAGGTTGGGACTGCTGCTTTGAGCTAGGCTGAAGTACACATATTCAGTGCCACCAGGGAAGGCTTGCCAATCCTGAAGGTCATGACTAGTACATCCAAAACAATCCATTCTCTCTTGGCTGTTCAATATGGAGCAGAATGAGGCCTATGTTTAGATCCTGGTATCTACTACACTTGCATGTATGAGTGGTTAAGTGATTATATGTGCATGTGCTCTGTGTGTCGAGGTTGGCACACGTAAAAATGTGTGTACATGTATGTTTGTGTGTGCATTTTTATGTCTCGGCATCCGTGTGTGTGTGTGTGTGTGTGTGTGTGTGTGTGTGTGTGTGTGTGTGTGTGTGTGTGTGTGTGTGTGTGTGTGTGTGTGTGTGTGTGCATGTGCATGTGCATGTGCTGGTGTGTGTGTGTGTGTGTGTGTGTGTGTGTGTGTGTGTGTGTGTGTGTGTGTGTTGTGTGTGTGTGTGTGTGTGTGTGTGTGTGTGTGTGTGTGGTGTGTGGTGTGTGTGGTGTGGTGTGGTGTGGTGTGGTGTGGTGTGGTGTGGTGTGGTGTGTGTGTGGTGTGGTGTGGTGTGGTGTGTGTGGTGTGTGTGTGTGTGTGTGTGTGTGTGTGTGTGTGTGTGTGTGTGTGTGTGTGTGTGTGTGTGTGTGTGTGTGTGTGTGTGTGCATGCGCATGTGATGGTGCGCGTGTGTGCGTGTGGAATGTGCTGGTGTGTGTGCATGTGCATGTGGTGGTGTGTGTGCATGTGCATGTGCTGGTGTGTGCGTGTGCATGTGCTGGTGTGTGCATGCGTGTGCATGTTCAGATGTGTGCGTGTGCATGTGCAGGTGTGTGCGTGTGCATGTGCTGGTGTGTGTGCGTGCATGTGCTGGTGTGTGCGCGTGCATGTGCTGGTGTGTGCGCGTGCATGTGCTGGTGTGTGCGCGTGCATGTGCTGGTCGCGTGCATGTGCTGGTGTGTGCGCGTGCATGTGCATGTGCTGGTGTGTGTGCGCATGTGCATGTGTGTGCGTGTGCATGTGTGTGCATGTGCGTGTGCATGTGCATGTGTGTGCGTGTGCATGTGCATGTGCTGGTGTGTGCGTGTGCATGTGCATGTGCTGGTGTGTGCGTGTGCATGTGCTGGTGTGTGCGTGTGCATGTGCATGTGCTGGTGTGTGCGTGTGCATGTGCATGTGCTGGTGTGTGCGTGTGCATGTGCATGTGCTGGTGTGTGCGTGTGCATGTGCATGTGCTGGTGTGTGTGTGCGTGTGCATGTGCTAGTGTGTGTGTATGCATGTGCTGGTATGAGCGTGTGTGTGTGCATGTGCTGGTGTGTGCGTGTGCGTGTGCTGGTGTGTGCGTGCATGTGCGTGCAGGCAGGAATGGGTGTGTGCGCGGGCGGATGTGGGTGTGTGCGCGGGCGGATGTGGTGTGCGCGGGCGGATGTGGTGTGTGCGGGCGGATGTGGGTGTGTGCGCGGGCGGATGTGGTGTGTGCGGGCGGATGTGGTGTGTGTGTGCGATGGGTGTAGGTGTGTATGCGGGCAGGTGTGTGTGTGTGTGTGTGTGTGTGTGTGTGGTGTGTGTGTGTGTGTGTGTGTGTGTGTGTGTGTGTGTGTGTGTGTGTGTGTGTGTGTATGTGTGTGTGTGTGTGTATGTGTGTGTGGGTGTGCGGGCAGGTGTGGGTGTGAGTGTGCGGCTAAGGGGATGTGTGTGGGTTGGTTTGCATTTGTGTGTATGTGTATGTATGTGTATGCATATGTGTGTATGTGTATGTATATGTGTGTATGTGTATGCATATGTGTGTATGTGTATGCATATGTGTGTATGTGTATGCATATGTGTGTATGTGTATGCATGTGTGTATGTGTATGCATGTATGTACATGTGTGTGTGTATGTGTATGCATGGTTGGATGCATGTGTGTGGATGTGGATGCATGTGTGTGGATGTGTATGCATGTGTGTTGATGTGGATGCATGTGTGTGGATGTGGATGCATGTGTGGAATTCAAGATGAACAGATTGCAGCAGGAACAACGAAGGGAAGGAAAAGAAAACATGAATACGCCAAAGGCCTTTTCGCTAATGCTTCGTCATGCCCTGATGAAGCATTAGCGATAAGGCCTTCAGCATATTCGTGTGTTTTTTTGTCCTTCCCTTCGTTGTTCCTGTTGCAATCTGTTCATCTTGAATTCCACACATGCATCCACATCCACACACATGCATCCACATCCACACACATGCATACACATACACACATATGCATACACATACACACATATATGTGTATGTATGTGTATGCAAGTGTATGTGTATACATGTGTGTATGTGTATGTGTGGGTTGGTGTGCATGTATGTGCATGTGGGTGTGAATGTAGGTGTGTGTATGTGTGTGACTATAAGGGCCATAGTCTAGAACTACTGTACTCTGGCTTTCTGGGGAAAAAAACTGTGATAAAGTATCAAGTGTACACCACCATCTGTTGTCCAAATATTCTTTGTCTGCTAATTCCTACTGGACAATCAACACCCTATGTTTTCCATTACAGCCCTCAGTGTGATTATAAATGTATTAACCAGGTGATTACATTAGCTTCATCAGCATCCAACTCAGGAACTATGAAATAATCTCTGAGGGTTTATATCTGCCGGATTGACATTAAAACTTATAGATTTCCACTGCATTAACCATTTAAGATTACTGCTGTCCTTGATCTAATGTGCTCTTAAACAAGGGAGACATCTCATCTTACCACACTGAATGCAGAAAATGACTGATGAAAACCACTCAAGACTTCATAAATTTTATCTTATGCATCCAGGAGTATTTGAGTATAACTGCATATACACACAAAATCACCATGCACACATACATTGACTGATTGCATTACTGGTTGATTACTGAGTGCAAGTTGTTGGTAATCCAAGATGACAAGGCATCATATGTTATTGTATCAGCTGGTAAAGATGAACCATCAACATAGGGATTCTAGAAGGCTTTACCTTCCTAACACCTGCCTTTGTAAAGCACTATCTAAGGCTTAAATTAGCTGGTACCATCACACCACAGGCATGTGGTCCAAAAACAGTTCATAGTCAGCATCAAAGTTTAACTCCCAAAATTTCCAATGAGAGAGTATCTTCATGGATACCCTCTGTACTGGAACATTCCCAATCTTTATTAATGTGTATTTTTTATATAAATGAATTGACCAGAAGAGAAAATAAATATAAACAATAATGTTACGATGAGTAATCAGAAACGTTACTCACAGGGTAAAAAATCAACACAATAGTTGGGAGTTTGGTTTGAGGACCTACCATATCAATCACTAAACATCAAAAAACTAATTTCACTGGAGCAGTCACTTCTAACACACTATCAAAAATACTATTGAGTATATTTTATTCATAGTGCACTGCTTTTTTCGATGTAAAAAGATACAAAATTTTAAATGAAAAGACATTCCCTTGCAAAACACAAAAAAATATTGATTTTTTAAGTTACCCTTAAAAAATCTGCATAAGATGCTTGAACAATATGAGATTCTCACTAAGGACATTGTAAAATATTAGAACTCCATATATTAAAAAATGTACTTAATATTCAAATGTTTCCTCTTAATCAATCTAAAAATACACATAAAATAATAAAACAAAAGCAAATTGATGTAAACTGTTTAAAACAATAAAAGCAATATGTACAATACCAATCAGAAATTATAAGTATGGAATGATATATGGATCCATCTGAAGCAAAGTAAAGGCAAGGAAAACAAAATGCTAGTTTCTTCAATCTACTGAAGGCAACTCAAAAGTACATACAAAAGAAAAATAAAGGACTTTTTCACACTTTTCCACTCTGTGATTACTCATTTCCCTTTGGTCAAAATACATTTAACAGGGATTTCAACCTCTCCAGACACTAAGTGAAGAGCCATAATGCAATCCCCCCCTAAAGGTAAGGCCTTGCCAACACCGGAGGGATGGCCTCGCACTAATCCTGCTGCAGAGATGCCAGAGGCAATACCAGGCAAGTGATTTCACATCATTAAAAACTCATCAAATTTCTCTTTCCTTCCTCACTCAAAGCACCAACATTCAACTGTCTTGATAATGAAGTCTTCAGTGTCTGTTAGCTGAGGATTATCAAAAGTCTTACAAGGCTGTGTCCTTCCCTGGTACAGATCACCATCTAACCACAGCCCAAAGTTACCACTGAAAATTAAAAATAAGTAATTGTAAGTCTCAAGACATGCAGATTCAAATGAGAAAACAATAACAATAATAATATAAATATCAAGATTAATAATAATAATAATAATATTAATAATAACAAGAACAGTAATAATAGATTTCAGCTAACTTTATATAACAAACTTCATACTAGCAGAAATGGTAATTCAAAACTGCATTCTTGTTAATATTCCAAATCTAATATGCAATCTGAATACTAGAAAGCAGTATAATGAAATATTCAAAAATGGGATTAGACACTTACTCTCCTCCACCAACAACAAGGGATTCATTATTTCCTTTAACGAAGAAATTATTCTCTCCAGTCCATGGGAATACCTGAAACTCTGGATGGAACGAGAAGAGAAAAGACTCGCCAGTTCCATAAAACAGTTCACTCACACGCAGAGAACATGATAAGACAGCTCCAAATACCTGCAGAAGAACAATTAATTAGCATTGATATTTGCCCACACTCCCTTATATCTTTATAGATTTATGTGTACAGCCAGCAGTACTTCTGACCATACACATACAATACTCTTCACCAAATCTTATATGTTAACACTGTTTGGTAGCCAAATGAAGCTAGTAACTGGCCAAGACTTTTCAGGTTTTAACATTACTAATACATGTTAACATCAATATAGTAAGTGGTTAGAATCATGATGAAATCATTAACCTTGGGAAATTACATTATCCTGTTCCTAGATATTGAATATGTTAATCAAATGCAAAATGACAACAATGACAATGCCATTAAACAGTCTTTCCAATGTAAATGTAAAATAGAAATTGAAAAAAATCTGATGAAGAAAACAACTTAGTATTTATGAAACTTAAACAACATTTGTAATACTAGGGAACTTGACTTAGTGTAAATGATGTGACAGAGAATAGCTTAAGGTGTGGAGAAAATGTCAATGGAATGGGAAAGTAAGAGAGAGATGGATAAGGTCAGAGAAACGTGAGAGGGGATAAAGAGTTATGAGACTAGTAAATGCAAATGAAATAGTGGTCACCATTATGATTAGACAAAGATTATTATTAACATAATGTTACATGAAATAGGAATAAAAATCCCAAATGTCTCTGTTAAGGGGACCGTCCCAGATGAGGGGGGAGGGACAGGGGGTCAAACTGAGTTAGCTAGCACATAGTATAGGTACATGGCTGAAGAAACTACCAAACGAGTATTAAAACCCTGCTGTGGCTAGTTCCCGGACGACGAATCGCTAATAAACACCCAGGTACACCTATGTGGACTTTTGCTTGTTGCAAAAGTGCATACAGCATTTGATTATGACATATTTTATTAAAAATGTCTAAAAAAAACAAAAAACAAAAAACAATGTGTTTTGTGTCCTTTTATATACGAAATATGCTTCCATCGAGGCTCCCAGGTAATATGTTGTAGATTACGAGGTAATCTGTACATATACCACATGCGAGGCACTAATGTTTGAAAGTAGCTGTATAAGTAAGGACTGAAATATTTCTGTTACATTTTGCTTAACGGTCGGTACTTCACAGCATCGATAAATTTGATTTGATTTGAAATTGGTCGTCACCACTGTAAAGAGGACTTCAATATGAAAGTTACAAAATAGTTGGATTTTTGAACCAGATGTGTATGCAAGACACTGATTATTTCATATTGAAGATGATAGTACACAGCAATACCTGCTTTGATATAAAAACTATATGGAATTTTGAACTTGATTGTGTGCACAGTCTTCTTCTTGAGTTGAAAAAGGTTTCGCGTCTGTTCTGTGTGTTCCCGATAACAATGTTTAGATGTTACCATAGGTCTTAGGTACCATAAATTCCCAAATATCCAACCACACCTAGGCATCTGCATGATTTTATGCCCTTTTTAGTAAAAGATAATGGGTGCAAATGGCTAATCTACAACTCTACACTCGTTTGCCTTTACAATCTGTTAATATTGACAATTATCAAAGAAAACGGTTTATTGTATAATATTTTATTCCTTTAGATACAAAAGTCGATATAGGCCTACTAAATGAGGATGAATAATACTCTATAACTTTATGCATGTATGTTTACGAACATATGCTCCTCCTCGAAAATTATAAACACCCACTGACCATCTCCCCCACTCCCTCCTTTGTGGAGCATGGGAAAAATTTGACTTTGGTAAGTTGCATGTACTAAATTTGTATGCTGTTAAAATTCTCAAAATTGAACCACCATGTTGTATTCATGCTAGGACTTTATAACTAGATATTGACATCCACAGTTCTTCATTTTTACAAAATTGAAGTTCAAAAAAAAAAAAAAAAAAAAAAAAAAAAAAAAAAAAAAAAAAAAAAAAAAAAAAATTAAAAAAAAAAAAAAAAAAAAAAAAACGGTCTTTATCTGGTTTAGATTGTCTCTATAGTAAAATGCATTTATTAAAATTTTCAGACGAAAATATATACTTTTATATATATAAAAAAATTACATACCTTTATAGGATAGCGTCCCTATTGAAAATGATAATTCCGACTGACTTGATAATCCTTGCATTGCAAAGTCCACTAAATAATTTTTTTTTTTTTTTTTTTTTTTTTTTTATCCCTAACATCATTAGATTTACAGGAAAATAACAGAGATAATGAACTTTGGCAAGGTGCCAAAATATAATACACCATATCTCCGGTCTTTGTTTACTTTGTTTGCATGGCCCTGAGGCCGTTAAACAGCTGATTTTTAAATGTTAACTTTAATAATAATAAAAAACATATTAATTCTTTAATGCTGAAAAAGACCAAAAATAGTGCTCTACATCAACTAGTCCCCTAGGCAAAAAAAAAAAAAAAAAAAAAAAGGAAGCCTATTTACATGGCCTTAGGCTAGGATAGATCTAACACAAGAATTTTCTGTGGATTGTCCTGGAAAAAAATTGTGGGAGTGGTGATGTACTGTGGAAGAGAAGAGGGGGGGGGGGAAACGGCGTTTTAAACAAACTTTTTGGGGGTGTCCCCCCCCCCCATTGGGATTGCAAGGTCAAAATTATATATGAGACGAAGTGCAATTCTATGCTCTATATTATGCAAAAAGAATCAATGAGTTATCTTCAACCAATTTTTTTTATGATGAAATGAGTAGGGAAAGGTGGTCATTTCCCAGGAAGGTCCCCTTAAGCATACATAGAATAGGCAGGCTTTCTTCATTCACATATCAAGACTCATAGATGTTTCTTATTTCTTAGTCTTGTCACCTTGTTATCAAAACATTAAAATTCTTCAGTAGGATTTAATAATTCATTGTTTGTCTGGTAGTCAGCCAGTGCGGGTAGTTATATCATTAATTCCAACAACACATTGCTCATTTGAGCCATAGCCCACAGATGCAGGGCTCTCAAAAGTAACCGGTCACGACAGCAAATCATTGTTTGAGGCTGACGACAGCAAATCATTGTTTGAGGCTTGTTTGGCTGCTGGCTATTTTCAGTCTGGTCCCAAAAATAAAACTTTCACCTTCTGAAAGCAGTTGTGAGCATGAATTTTATGCACTATGTACACCAGGCCACTTTTTCGCAGCAGCATTTCTGTCATTTTCTAAACATAAGATAATAAAGAATACAGGTTTGGGGTAGCTTTGCCCCCCTTGCACCCGGCTATTCAAGCCCATGAACACTGCTATACTCCACAAATTTGAGAGCCCTGTAAATGGCATAACATACATACCATATCCACTATAAGTTTTTCTATTAACTGTTTTTACTGATAAATAGCTACATATGTGCTTAGTCATTAAGGAGTCCTACCTATCCTATCTATTAACCCTTTTCTTGAATTTTATTGTTAGATACATAATTACAAATAATATAGAAATAATAATAATAATAACAGCTTAAGTTTTT